TTCTCTTTCCTCTTCCATTTCTCTTTCCTCTACCATTGTTGCGTTTGAGAACCCAACAGATACGTTGGGCTCAATCGAATCCAGCAAATATGTTGGGTTCCATACCCAATAGATTCACTAGGTTTGATAACCCAAACAAATTTGTTGGGTTGTTTCGAACCCAATAACTTTGCTAGGTTTTGAACCCGAATAGCTCCACTGGGTTCTTTTGAACCCTGCAAGTCTTGGATGAGGCAATTTTGTTTGATGATGATGATAAATTAATTGATTTCATTGAATTGATTGTTTGATTTAGAATGAATGAAAAAGATTTAAGAGGGAGGATGCTAAGGAAGAAGATGAGGGTAAAATTGTAAATTTGGTGGATTGAATAATTATATTTGTTTGATTATGTGGCAAAGATTTTTAGCCATGTCATTTATTTATTTATGTTGTTAATTTTATGTATTAAATATTTGGACATGTCATTTTCATTCTATCAATTAACAAGCTACCTTAGCAAAAATTTAACGAAATGACCAAATTGGAGCCAAAATGGTAAACAATAGGGACCAAATCAGGGATTTTTTGAATTGAGGGACTAAATTAAATGTTCATATAATAGTTGAGGGACCAAAATTGGGGTTTAACATTTTTTTTTTTTTTTACATGTGAGTTAGGTGATCCCCTTTTTTAATTTTTTGATAAATTTTTGGTTTGGTTTTGGTTTAACCATATGCATATGATGTGATATTAATTATTATGTTAATTTTTTAAAATTTTAGGAAACAATTTAACAAGACATGCTTTTCTTAATTCAAAATGTAATAGGGGTGGAACACATCAATTTTTATTTTTTTGTTAAAACATAATCTAAATACAATATGTTTTTAAATAATATAAGAAAAGTAGAAAACTTTTAAAAGATTTCTTAAGGGAAAAAAATTGCTAAATACATCTAGAATTTGCACATCAATATCTTGTAACTACTAAATTCATCAAAAAAGAGTGGGTGGAAAATACATCAAATTATTAGGCGTGTGGGTCCATTTCATCATTTGTTTTCAAAGAAGCCCCCAAGGCCCGTTGACTTTGAAAACCGTGCCAATGCAATCACGCGCTGCTCTCCATTTGTTTTCTAAATGTACGAAAATCATAGCAATGTTAAAAGAGGAGGAATTTGTTTAGATATAAATTACACGCGGTTCCGTACAAAAGTTTAAGAGCAATGTTCGTTAATTTTGTTTAAATTATTAAAAATTAGTGTTCGCTATAAGTTTATATATTTTAAAATTATTTAAAAAATAATTGATAAAAATGTTATTTAATAAATTAGGATTAATAGATAACAATTAAAGTTTAAATTGTTGATCAATTAAAAAAAAGTTAATTTAGATAAATTTTTATATCAAAAATTTAGATAATTTTTTGTATTAAATTGTTAATTAATTGAAAATTTTAATTTTGTTAATAAATTTATTTATTTTAATTTTTTAATTATTAACCTTAATTTTTAATTAATATTTATCTAATTAATTTGAATTTCTTTTTTTTCTTTAATAACTTTAAATGATTATTGCATCTGTAGCTGTGGTTGCATTAGTAAGATGTATCTTGCCATGAACTCCATCATGATTTAGTTCCTTGTAATGTCATCTTCTTTCTCCTAATTTCTTAATGTTAAAAAAAAAATTTAAATGATTATTAAAATTTGTTTATATTAATTTATTATAAAAAATATATTAACTTAATAAAAAAATTCATTAATTAGATAAAATAATTAGAATTTTTTTCTTTATTTAAAATATTAGAATTTTTTTATTTGTTAAAAATAAAAATGAGTATTTAATTATACTAGTATAATATATTTTATTATTATTATTTTATAAAACTAATAATTTTAATAATACAAATATAAAAATATATTTAATTATTTTTAAATATATCTTTATTAATAATTTAATGTAAAATAACAACTGCTTATTATATAACCAAATAATTATATTAATAAAATCCATTATCTATCTGTTTGCACCATTTGTCAGAAATGGAAATTATTTTCGTTTCTCTCCGTGCAAATATGCTCTTATATTTATTATTATATTTATTATTATTATTATTTTATAAAAC